CTGATCCTTCAGCATAGGATATCATTCTGTTGATTTAGATCTTCTCCAATTTCTTTGAACATTTTTGGGGTAATTTTTCAGTGTATAAGCTTTGCACTTCTTTTGTTAAATTTATTCCTAAGTATTTTATTTTTGAGGCTATTATAAATGTAATTGTCTTATTAATTTCATTTTCAGATTGTTCATTGCAAGTTTACAGAAATGCAGTTGATTTTTTTGGTATGCTGATCTTGTATCCTGCAACTTGTTCATCAGTTGTAATAGTTTCTTAGTGGATTCCTGGGGACTTTCTAAATACAAGATCACGTCATCCATGATTAGAGAGAGTTTTACTTCCTCCTTCCCAATTTGGTTGCATTTTATTTCCTTTTCTTGCCTGATTGCCCTGGCTGGGACCTCCCGTACAGTGCTAAATGAAAGTGGCAAGAGCAGACATCCTTCTCTTGTTAATGATCTCAGGGGAAAGCTTTCAGTCTTTCACTATCGAGTATGATGCTTGTTGTGGGTTTTTCAGAGGCGCCTTTATCGGGTGGAGAAAGTTCCCTTCTGTTTCTAGTTTGTTTTGTAATTTATCATCAAGGAATGTTGAATTTTTGTCAGATGCTTTTTCTGCATCTGTTGAGAAGGTCATGTGGTTATTGTCCTTTATTCTGATGATGTAGTGTAATATATTGATTGGTTTTTATGTACTGAACCACCCTTGCATTCCTGTAATAAATCCTGCTGGGTCACAGTGCATACTTCTTTTTCTGTGTTTCTGGATTCAGTTTGCTTGTCCTCTGTCCCCGAGCTCATAAAGCACATTCTGTGGACTGTGTTTGCTCTGCTTCACATGTGGGTTTATGGGCAAGACATCGGCAGTCTGCACCTTAGGCTTTGAAAGAGTGTGGGTGTCTTCTGGCCTCAGGAGCATTTCAGGTCCCTCCTTCCCCGCTGGCACCTCAGAGTCTGACTTGCAGATGTGTGGTGGCCAGAGTGGTCCATGGCCCAGGATGCTGGTCAGTTTCTTTGAACCACTTGGAGGTGGAGACAGCCCAGCTCAAGACCCTTCTTTTCCTTTACGCTGACCCTGTGGCCTCCTGAAAGAGTCAGTGGCATGGAGGAGGCAGCGTTGGCCAATGGTGGGTTCTGGGCCTGATTTTCCCGTAGTTGGAGAAGTTGGACGTTTGGCTAATCTTAGAGCTTCTGGGAGAGGTAACTGCACTATCTCTGTGATATTCTAATGCACTCTCTGAGGCTCTTATCCTGGTGTCATGATAGAAGTCTGCCATTCGTGAAGCTGGAGAGTAGAAAGTTACTTGTTTTCACTAACCTTACAGTGAAATCATGTATTTCCTTCAGTTCTGAAGGTAGGCAACAAACCTCTGTGGCATTAGGAGAAATCACAGTTGTTTTCATGTCCTGTCATAGTCATCACAGATTCTTGATGTGTTGTTTATGCTCACCACTACTTAAGAATTACTATCAGCAGACCTTCTGTTGGACCTTGTTATTTAGAACATCATGCTGAGGACAGTCATTCTTTTCCGCGCTCCAGAGTCCTTCATCTCTAGACTAGCAAAAGAGCTCCTTTCCAAGGGGGGTGACTTTCTTACCCTCAGGGACTTGGAGTCCCCTTAAAGAAAGTGGGCATAAGTTCCTGGGGAAGAGGAAACAGCAGGTGTCATGGGGGACAAGGGACCCAGGCCTGGAAAGCTTTAACAACAGCAGCATCCTAATGCCATCATGATTTGCTCTTTAAAGCCCAGCCATGCTGGGGGTGGGTGGGGTGGGTGTCCTGTACACTTTGTTTTGTGCATAATGTAGCTACTTAAAAGCACAGATACCTCTACATACTATTTGATAGCCTGAATTACTTATTTAATTATCTGTAGTACATATCTTTCCATATAATAATATACTTCTAGAACTTTTTAAGTATAGCACTTTAAGAAATAGAAATCAGAGAAACAATGCACAATTATAATGAAGAACAGAAACACTGAACAGGTAAAGTATCAAGTGCAGGCCTGGCCTTCAAAGGATCCACGTTGTGCTGCTGTCAGTGCTAGGACCTCCTGGAGGATCAGGTGCCAGAAGTGGAATTGCTGGGTCTGAGGGCAGGCCTTTTTTCTGTGGCTTTTGATGCTTATTGGAAAACTGCTCCCCCAAAGCCACACCATTTCACATTCCTACCATAGCATTGTGAGGTTTGCCTCCTCAAATCCTTGCCAACACTTGTGTATTTTCCTTCTTTTTTATCTTTGCTGATTTGATAGGCTAGCATGTGTTCATTAGCATTCCTTTGATTCATTGCGTGGTTGAATGGTTTCATTTGGTTTTGGCTCTTGGTTTGTTTTTTTCCTCTCATGAATCACCTCAGTGTTCTTGGCAGTATCAGGGTCCTGGCAGGATGCAGATGCAGCCGTGAAGTCTCTGCAGGAGAGTAGCTTACTGAGGGGACCAGTTACAGACAGCTGGGCCTAAGGAAGCTGGATTCCTGTAGCTGACTGTGAGCCTCTCAGCCCTGGAGGGGGTGCAGGTGGGAGGGACCAGCACCTGAGGGGGTCACTGTGGTGGGAGAGAGGTATGGCATGGGGGGAAGCCATGAGGAATAACCCCCATTTCTCTCCTGCACTCCCCCTGGGCAGGGGGCTCCTGCTGGCTCCAGGGCTGTAGTATGCAAAGTCACTTGGGGCACAGAGACGGACAGGGGCTGCATCTGGGAACAAATGGGGCAAGAGGCAGCATGGCCTTGTCTGTGCTTTTTGTACATCTACCTTTGGAAGCTGTTGGACCTGCAGTCAGGAAGTCCCCCCATGGGGAGCCTTGCTGGCTCCCCATCCCAGGGGTGGCAGGTGGGGAGATAATGGTCACCATGGCCAGTGGGCCTGTCTCAGAGCAGGTCATTGCATGCTGAATTGGGGTGGCCATGGGCCCTGGGTTTCTTTTGCACTTTAATTTGGGCATTATGTTATTTATGGCTGTATGCGGTAAATAATTTTGTAGACAGACAAAGCATGGGTCTGCGGTGTTTTACTGCAGGTAGCAGCTGTACCCCAGTCAAGGTATTTGAGTCAGGCCCAAGCTGAGGTGCACAGTACTGAGCCTTCCCTCAGTGCAAGAAGGGAAGTAAGCTTTCCCCAAACTGGAACATTTTGTGTAACAGGGTGATTGACTTTGAGAAGGAAAGACAAAGGAAGGAACTTTCAGCCATTCTCCCTTCCCCAAGTCTCTTTCCTCTAGAGTATCTTAGAATATCTCAGAACTGAGCAGGCTGCTTCTGCTGAGCTTAGGGCTGGGTCTTTGGAGGGCAGGGGCTTGTGTCTGTGGAGAGCCCTGTCCCTGTAAGGCTGCATGGGGGCTGCGCAAGGGTTCTCAGTTAAGCCCCTGAAGGCACGTGGGGTTGGAGAATTCTTGGCTCTGGGGCTGTCAGATGCCCTGCAGGATACTTAGCTCTGTCCCCAGCTCCTACCCACTAGGTGACAGTCCCTTCCTGTCCCCATTGTGGCAGTCTGAGATGTCCCCAGATGTTGCCAGATGTCCCCAGGGGCCCAGTTGAGCAGAGTTGAGACAGTGGGACAAATAAGCAGGACCCTTTACAGGGGCCTGTTACTGTTTTTATAGTGCAGCCTGATTTTAGAAGGGATCCCAAAGAGCCAGAGACCTCTCCGTGGTAGGTGTGTTGGTGTAGTATTTTAGCTGGTGCACTTTCCAAGTTGGTTCAGGAAAACTTGCGCATAGAGACAATTAATTTCTAGCCCAGGTTGATAAAGATGTTGAGAAAAAGGACAGTTGATTTGTAGAAGGGCCAGGCCAGGTAAAAGGGCCTTGTTTGTCCAGAGCAAAATGGTGTTAAACCCTAGTGTTGGGTTTTCCATGTGCTCTGGGTTGCTGTGCTGGTTCCTGTTGGTGGGAAAGGCGGTCTGAGCAGAACTAGAGCCTTGCTGATGGCCATTTGGAGTACGTTACAAGATGCTGGTTGTGTGGTGCGGGCATGGAAGGTCGTGGGAGGGAGGCAGTTTGCTGTGAGTGCCGCAGAAGTCACTGGGAAACTGGTTCAGGTGACACAGCACTTCACATGCTCTTTGGAGAAGTGATTTGCCCTCAGATAGTGGGCGGCCATCACACGGGGACCCCTGATCCTGTATCCTTTGGTCATGGGTAAGGCTGAAAGCAGCTGTTCTGTCCACGATGCTGGAAGGCACCCCACAGGGGATGCGTTAGGAGTGGTGTGGTGGGGCAGGTGGGCTTGTGCCCACCGTGCTGCTCTGTCAGGGCTGCCCGGCCACTAATGAGCCGGGCAGCCCTGACAGAGAACCTGCTAGGGTGAGCCAGGTGTCGGTGCCTCCTTTCTGCTGGGGTGGGTGGGTCCAGAGGGTTTGGCTGCTGCCTGACCCTACAAGTCTGCAGTCGAACTTGGTGAGCTTGCGTGCACAGTCCAGCACTGTCGGTGGTGGAGTGTTGCTGGGGCTCGCTGACTGGGGCGCCCGAGTCTTACTTCCTTAGAGCCCCTAACCTTCCCGAGCTATTATGAAGATAGAGTATCCCTCCCCTGCATGCAGCCTGAAGGAGAGCCGTTCTGTTCCCACATTCTACATGTGTTCAGTGGGTGCTTGCTGCGTGCCCGGGGCTGTTTTAAGCACCGCAGGTCCAGCGGCCTCCAGATGCTCCCAGCTGACAGAATTCTGGGCGAGGGCATGGCAGGTATGCAGTTGAGAGGTGCCAGGAGAATGTGAGGCTGGTAGGGGTTCAGGAGGGGATGCCCAGGCAGTCAGGGCAGGTGTCACTGAGCAGGTGACCTTTGAGCCAACCCTGGGAGGGGAGGGTCCAAGCAGGTGGTGCAAGGGGAAGCCGTGACCAAGTCCTGCTCTCGGTAGTGTGAGGCCAATTCCAGGTGACCAGTTTACGCCCATGTAAACCATGGCGTCCTGAGAGGTGAACGCCGACTGTGCCACGTCCATGATGCAAAATGCTCTGTGTTTCAGCCTGACCTTTTCCCTTTTCCCTCTTCCCATCAGCCAGGGCCAACTCGTTTGTAGGAACAGCCCAGTATGTTTCTCCAGAGCTGCTCACAGAGAAATCGGCCTGTAAAAGGTAACCTGTTTTCATCTGATCCATAATTCTCTTTTTGCTCAAGTAGCTGGTGCTTTTTTCCAGGTGAGATTAATAGTAAAGAGAGCACCTTTCATGGCCTTTACATAGCCAAGCCTATTTTGGAAGAAGTTAGCATTTTGTCTTTTAACCAGTGTCTTTTCTTTGATAACCTGTGTGCTACTTTGTTGTACTACTTACACTTTCTGGGGCAGTTTTGCTTTATGCTTTGAGATTTGCTCTTGTTCCTTTAGGAACAGCTAACTGTTCAGTGGGAGAGAAGTGTGGCCCACAGGTTTGTATTATGTGCACGAGACTTCCTGCTGTGTCCCGGAGCCGAGGGATTCCTGGTACTGCCTTCGATTTGGGCAGCCTGGCTGTGGCAGCAGCTGCAGGTCAGGTGTTCAGTGTCATGTGCTCTGCAGAGTGCAGGACAGGCCCAGAAGGCAGTGTCTGTGGGAGGGGATAGGACTGAGCTAGTATCTCAGCTGCGGCCCAGCCAGCACTACCAGGGGTAGGCCTCGTGGTGGCCACAGGTTTGAGGGCCTGGGTGGAGGCCTCAGTTGTGAAAATTAGAAGTGCAGGGGGCTGGGGAATGGAGAAGGGTCGGTGGCAGGGCAGTTGGGAGTGGAGGTAAAGAAAATGAGGCGCCAATGGCCAGAAGGTGGGATGAGTCTAGGGAGCTATCTAGTGGGCATGAGGCAGATGGAAGACAGGTGGCAATAGAAACTGGGCTTTCAGAGTTTGGGGATGACAGGTTCTGTGGTTGAAGCTTTTTCTTGGATTCTTCTGCCCTGGGCCAGATGCTCAGCCTACTGGCACCATCCCTGGATTTGACAGACAGCCACATGGTCAGTGTCCTGCACTGGCAGCCTGCAGTGGGCTGCCTTCCTAGAGTGACGAGTGACTGCCAGAGGCAGCAGAGTGAGTGGTTCTGGGCACAGCAGCTCTATGTTTCTAAGCTCGATGGCTTTAAAAAAATTCTTCAGTGGGTGGAGCCACGGGGCACAAAAATGATGATGGATAGGATGCTTAGAAAAACTTGGGCATCATTGTGGCCATTGGGCTCTTTGTTTGTATGTTTGTTTGTTTTTACCTTAATCAGTCAACAGACTTTGAGCTCTTACTGTGGGCCAGACACTGTTGTAGGTCAAGGCTTCCCAGCTGGGGCAGTTCTGCTCGCCAGGGAATATTTGGCTGTATCGAGACACAGTTTTGGTGTCACAGCTTGGCAGAGATGGGGAGGGAGTGCTGTTGGCATCCAGTGGGTGGAGGCAGGGGCGCTGCTCCACATCCTGCAGTGCAGAAATGGCCCCACAACAAGGATGATCGGCTCCAGATGTCCACAGGGCCCAGGCTGAGCAACCCTCCTCTGGGTGGTGTGCACTCTTGGCCAGTTTCTCCAAGTGTATGTCACTGCTGCCTGAGAACTAGCTTTTCCTCACTGTGGGGTTTAGCTCTTTAGCACTGATGGGAGAAAGTCTCCAAGCTCTACTGAGTGAGATGCAGAGGTCCCAGACTCCCTGCCTGCCCTTTGCAGCGCTCTGGGCGGACATGCAGGAAGTGGGGACTGGTTATCTGTTGGGGGTGGGCAGTGAGGGAGATACAGCCTGTATATCTTTTTTATGTTGTTAATTTTTTGAATCGTGATATTTATTTTTTAAGGAAGTTAAGAATTTTTTTCCTCATTCAAAAAATGGTACCTTTCAAGGTAAAGAAAGAATTTTTAGAAAATACGGAAAATTAAAAAACCCAAAACGCTCACAGTCTCCCACCCACTTAGGTTGCAGATCATGACTTGGTATATGCTTCCAGCTACTTTTTTCTGTGTGTTTTATATGTGCTTACCTAATCTTCATGCAACTGCAGTCATACTGAATAACCAGTTTTGAATTCTGCCCCTTGTGATAATATGATGGACATTTCCCCATGTCACTAAAATTATTTACAGAGATCTTTAACAGCTGTATGGGTTTCCAGCATATGAATTTTTTGTAGTTCTTTGAACTTTTCCTTTATTGTTGGACGTTGAAGTATTTCGCATTATTTGGCACAGTTAAACTAGTGTGCCTCTTGTGTGCAGCAGATCCTGTGCTGTGGGGAAGAAGAGTGCTCCTGCCTGTTCCATGGGAGAGTCTGCCCCATGTGCCTCTGTTAGAATTTCAAGGAAGTAGAATGACTTTGTTTAACAGCATTTAAAAAAATCATTGGTATATACTACTTTCCAGAGATGTTTCACTGGCTTCCCCTTTTAGTTTTTATTGTATGACAAACCGGTCCTGCTTGCAGTCCCACTCCCTGGGGATGACCCTATGAAAACAGCAGAGGCAGCCCCACCCCACAGCCCTGCCCCTCCTCTCTGGCCACTTCCATGTCGAAAGGCCAGTGCCTCTCTGTCAGCGTTCTTCTTGTGTAGCTCCCCATTTTAATGACACTAAATGATAGAGATAACCAAGTGTGAGGACTGTTGAGTAGAATGTACCTTCATTTTTAAAATGTCCTTCACTCCAACTGTGTGTTGTGACTTGGATATCTGACTTCTTACATTTTTAACCCACATCAAGTGCTGCATCTGCCTCGGGCCTGTGGTGCTGTCCGTACATGTACGAGGACAGAGCCTTCACCTAAGGCCCCCAGCATGCTCACTGGCTTGTTGTCTTTGCCCACACCCTACAATTTCATCTTCCAAAATGCCAGGCTGTGGCCTCTTCCAGAAACTGACTGTATTGAGCAACCTATGAGCGTACGTACATCTAGGGCTTTGGGAGAGGCAACTGGCCATGTAGGGTGAATTGCATCTTGATGCTTTCATAAGGCTGAGCTGAGAATAGAATGCAAAAATAAATACAAAAAAATTTTTCCTACAGAGGAAATAAAATATGCAAAGTAGATCTTCAGCTGTGAACTCTTGAGATGCACTGAGGGGAGAGAATGAACGGGAGCAGGGCGGGAAGGAGGGTGGTGAGGAGAGCAGCCCCTCCAGGGTCCCTGCCAGCTGTTTATGGAAAGGACTTCGGGAAATTCAGAGCTGTAGTGTGTGTCTTTTAAAATGTATAATTAAAATGTTTATAAAGGAGGGTGAGTCTGAGAAGGGAAAGAGAAAGCTTGCTTTGTGCACATCCTCCAGACTGTGATTTGGCTGCTTGGCATGCGTGAGCTTGTGTCTGTGTCCTGGGGGTAAACAGTGAATTGTGAGAGACTCTGAGACTGTCCTTAACCGTGCTAGCCTGCCAGTGACAGGGGCAGCCTTCTCAGTGCCCTGCGCTCCAGCACTGGAAGAAGGTGCTTTCCTGTCAGGGTGTTTCCTGTGGTCAGGAGTGGCCGCTGCTCCCTGTTCAGGACCAGACTGCATCTGTGAGGACCTTGGTTGCCCCCAAGGGAGGTGGCAGAGCTGTGAGGGAGGTGCATGGCCTGGCCCAGCAGTGCCTCCAGTGTGTGTGCGAGATTCTCTAGTCCCAGGTTCAAAGGGAGGCCTCTCAGGGAGCCCAGAGCAGGTTTCCACCCTCACGCTGACCTGGTTTTAAAGGAGAGAAATAGATCTGAGGCTGAAACGGGTGGTATGAACAGACAGGATGGAGGTGACTGCTTGTCACTGAGATTTTACAAATGTCATTCTTCTTTGTCTTTCCCTTCCCTTAAAGTTCAGACCTTTGGGCTCTTGGATGCATTATATACCAGCTCGTGGCAGGCCTACCACCATTCCGAGCCGGGTAAGAGACCCCCCTCTCTCAAATCACCACCCCCGCCAAGCCCCTCACAGCAGCCTGACAGAGAAGTGGGAGGGACAGTCCTGGGGGCTGGGCCAAGGTGGGGGAACTTTTATGACAGTTCTTCAATGAATGTGGTGGCTCTCTGGGGACAGGGGGAGACCACTGTCCCAGGAAAGATACAGCTCTGTACCAGGGAGGTTTCTGTGACCCTGCGCATAATGGTGATTTTTCTTATTTACAGAAATGAATATCTAATATTTCAGAAGATCATTAAGTTGGAATATGACTTTCCTGAAAAATTCTTTCCTAAGGCAAGAGACCTTGTGGAAAAACTGCTGGTAAATATTTTGAATTTTCTTCTGGTAAGATGATCCAGTAGCCATACTCTTGAGTCCCTCTGAACTTGTGGTCAGAGGGCCTTTCCTTGGAGGTGCCTGTACTTAATAAAAGGGCGTTTTAGGGTTGATAGTGATTATAGGTAGATTCATATCTTCAGTCTTATAAGACATTTTCAGGTTCCAGGTGCTTGATTCTTGACCTCAGTAAGATAGGAAGTTACTATGTCATTTTGCATTTGCTCATCAACACACATAGCATTTTAAGTTAACAGACGCTGGAGCAACTGGGTGTATTACAATGCCAGGTGGTGGTAAATCCTACTTAAGCAGCCTCTCTGGTTATCAGCTTTAGAGTCAGCTACATGAAGGTTTTAGAGATCAACCCAGGTAACATATAGCAAAGGTAAACTGATTTATCCAGGAAGAGTGTCTGTTTCTGTTCTAGTGTGCTGCCTCTTGTGCTCTGGCTCCACGTCTTCCCTTCACTTGATTTGGGGGAGCAGGGTCAGTCAGCCTTTCCCACCTGTCCCTCCTGTATCTGTCCCCTCAGTGCAGATGTGCCTGATCTTCTGTGGGTCTGGGGGGCACAGTCGGATCCTTGTGGGGCCCTTTGAGATCAAGTGCTTGTGGGATACACAGGCACTTTTCTCCCTGTCTGTGAGAGCTTCGTGTCCACATAAACTCTTCATTCTCTTTGTTATTAAAGCCCACGAGTTCATGTGTTTCTTGTTTTGGGATTTTTAACTGTGTATTTTAAAAGAATACCTCCTGCTATTCGTTAACTTTTGATGATGTTCATTTTCACCTGTAGGGGTTGGGGGAGGATGTGAAAGGAACCCCAGAGGGTGACTCCGTTGTCCCCGGGCTGCAGTGCCCTTCCTATTTCCAGGAGATCCTGAGAATCGAAAAGAACTACTCCAAAAGAATTTTTTGGTCAGAATTACTTTTTAACCACAATGCTAACTTGCCTTGACTTTGATTTAAGGTTTTAGATGCTACAAAGCGATTAGGCTGTGAAGAAATGGAAGGGTACAGCCCTCTGAAAGCTCATCCGTTCTTCGAGTCCATCACATGGGAGAATCTGCATCACCAGACGCCTCCGAAGCTCACAGCTTACTTGCCAGCCATGTCAGAAGACGACGAAGACTGCTATGGAAACGTAAGACTGCCATAGGAAAGGAGCGGCCCCACAGAGGCGAGCTCTGCTCGTGCTGTTGTGCAGAAGTGGATCATGGCCAGAGGAGCGGGCAGGTCCTCCAGGGCCTTTAGCAGGGGTGTCCCAGGGAAGCAGCAGGCTCTGCTGGCCAAGCTCTGAGGGAGCCACATGGGCCCCGGTTGTCTCAAGATTTCAGTGCCGGGTACTTGGCTTCACCAGGCGTATACGCGCGCTTGTGTGTGCCTGCACACTTGAATGTCTTCTGCAGGTCCTCTGTCTGCTGTTTCAGTCATGTTTGCCATGTGGAGAGCTCTGGCTTCTCGGTACTCAAGTGTTGCTGTCTGAGAACTGGCTCTGTGTGTTCACAGCTTACTTTTTGTTAGATGGCTTGTCCTCAGCTTTAAAAGCTGTGTGGTTTATTAGCCTTGGAGAGTATTCAGGCAGAGCTCCCTATACCAGATGCCGTCCTTTGGACAGTTTAGTGAGCTTTGAAAAAGACTTTGACCCAGAAGAGTGTCAGATACAGAGGAAACTTGCTCAAGGAGGTGCTCCTTTTCTGTGATGTTGATAGCATGTCACTGGGACAGTCTCATCCGAGAGGTTCTGGAGGAGTCCTTTTAACAGGAAGGAAGAGGGCTTGGCGCTGAGGGTGAGGATTGAAAGTGCCTTTACCCAGTACCCAAGGCATCTTCTGTGTTCCTGATCCTCTGCTGGTGGCTGATGGTGGCACTTGAGGTTGGACTCCGAGTGAGCCATGCGGGAGTGGCACCCCTGGGACCACTTTTGGACCAGCACAACTGGCAGTGTCCTCACTGCTCCATGGGGAACACCTCTGCTTCAACCCCACGTAGCCACATCATCACATTTCCTTTTGGCCTGGATTTTGTGCTGGGGGTCTGTCCGAGGTACTGCTAAGGGGAGAAGAGTAGAGAGCAGAGATAGAACCCCTGGAGCTTCCCATGGGGAACAGTGCAGTGGGGCCCCCAAGACAGAACTCTCCAGCAGGCTGTGGTGGCAGCAATAAACCCATAGCTCCGTGCTGACCCTCGGTTCTCCCATTTCAGAAATGGGGATGATTGGTAACTTCCGTCTCACTGGCTTCACAGGCTCATTGAAACACCCCAGGAGGGGAAAGAGGGGGGCTTGTAGAAGCCTCTATAAACTTTGAGACACTGCACAGAGGCAGCTTCCAGCCAGGGAGTTCTCAGGAAATGGAGAATGCACTAGAACAAAGTCTTAGCTGGAGAGGCCGAGGGAGTGTCCAGGGGCTACTCCCACCCAGGAGCCAGTGGGGGAGGCTGAGGCTGTTGTTGGCACTGGGTGAGCACCTGGGAGAAGGCTGCTCTGGGCGACAAGTGAGGAGGGTGGGCGCAGGGTCTGCAGGAGGGGGCCAGCCTCTGTGGGTGGTGGCCAGGGCCTTTTTTGGAGCCACAGGGCACTTGGAAGGATTTTCTGTGCTCTGGTCTTGGCCGTCTGATGGCATCTGTTCCTTTCTCTCACCACTGGCACAGCAGAGCTCTGGTGTGGGGCCTGTGGCCTGGTGGGGGCGACACCACTCCTCCCCACACCTTTTCTGGGGAATCTTTGGCCTGGTCAGCCCCAGGAGCGCATGTGCCCGTTTGGCATGTTTGTGAGTAATTCCATTTTCTGTGTTACCACTGGTATGTAGTTTTCTCTAGAATAGCAGGCAACTTTGTTTACATCAAGCTTAATTAATCTGTTGCGATTAAAAGGAATATACATATTTTAATTGAATTCAGTTAGTCAAATTGGAAGTTGTGACGACTGGACTCAGAAACTTGGAACCATGAGGCCAAAGGAGGAGGGCGCCTGACTTACAGGGTCCCAATCCTCCAGGGCTCAGCAGGCTCCAGGTCCTTGATCTCCCCTTCCTGGAGATGAAGACTGAGGATAAGCTCCTCTCTGGAGCGAACATCTTCTGACATTCCCATCAGAAGGGGACCCAGAGCAAGCAGGATCCAGCCCTTAGTCTGGTGGCCAGCTGTCTAGCAGAGGAGAAACTGGAGCTGGCCCGCACTTACCAGCATTAACAGAGCCAGGCTTGTCTCCCACAGGGCCCTCAGGACCTCGGGTGTGCGCTTGCTCTGACAGGTCAGAGAGTGTCTAGAGCTTTGGGTTGGAGGGAAAGTTAAGGCGTAGTTCTCACTTTGTGCTCTTGTCTGTGCAGTACGACAATCTCCTGAGCCAGTTTGGCTGCATGCAGGTGTCCTCATCATCCTCCTCCCACTCCCTGTCAGCTGCGGATGCAGGGCTTCCACAGAGGGCAGGCAGCAACATCGAGCAGTATATCCACGACCTGGACACTAACTCTTTTGAGCTGGACTTACAGTTTTCTGAAGATGAGAAGAGGTTGTTATTGGAGAAGCAGGCCAGTGGAAACCCTTGGTAAGAACTTACAGATGGAAGTAGTGCTCTGTTTAAAAATGCAGGGTCGAACGCTCGGAAAGAAATGCCAGACGAGGTGACTGAGAGAGCGGGGCACCTGGCTTTGTCACTGCCACCTGTCAGGGCTCTGCACCCTCCCACCTGCCCAGCTGCCTCAATGTGTCCAATTGGAAATGGGTGTTGGGAGGGTCAGCCTGTGGTGAGTGGCTTTGGGACCCTCAGGGCTGTAGCCCCTGGGGGTCGGCATGCAGGCACGCCAGCATCTGTGTTCGGATATGAATTTATCATGATTTAAATAACCGCTGCCCTCGGTGAGACATTCAGGGTGTTCTGGTGTGTTTGCTGTCAACCTACTTTCCTGATGACCTTGCCTGCCCTTGAGTGTTTCAGTGCTCTCAGAATGGGCTCACATGAACTGGAGTTTGTATACTTGTCGAGGCAAACATCTATGTTCATTGGCCATTTGTGTTTATATTTTGAGATACTTTTGACTATTTTTCTTGTATGTTTTGCATCTTTTTAAAAAAAAATTGACACTTCAGAGCCATGGATATGAACAGTATTTCTGTTAATTTTGCAAGCATTTTTCTTCAGTTTATCTCTTCATCCTGTTTGTGGCTGTTTTTTATTTGGAAGTTGTAAATTCTCACAAAGTCAAGCCTGGTTATGTGTTTATTTTCTGTTTTCCATCTTGGTCCTGTTGAGAAGTGCTTTACCTTGACAATTTCTTCATGCCTTTTGATGGTTTCACCTTTTGCACGAGTGGGGTGGGGTGGGGTGGGGCAGTATGTTGAGGAAGGAGGATTTGAGGGAAAGAGGACCCCGGAATGTGGGAGCACTTGTACTGCTACCCAGAGTGGCACTGCCTAAGTCTAAAGATAAAGATGCTAAAGAGAAGACATTGAGTTCTCTGACTCACGGAAGGGAGGGGTCTACTCCACAGAAACTGGGCAAAACTGTAAAAGTGATACAGAAATAGGACAAAAGCTATCTTTTCCTGGCTTTATAGATGTGAATACCTTTCTGTGTTGTGTCTGTGAAGAGAAGGTTTTTGCGTGTTATTTTGGTGCCATGTAAGTTGCGGCATCATTTAGAGACTGAGCATTCCGAGTTCTTAAGAGAAAGGAATTGAGTATTTTAAATGTACATGTGGGCTTTTTCAAGGCCAAACATTGGAAATCCACTATAAAGCACTGTACAGGGAAGTCAGGTGTGGAGGTGGGAGGAGCCCCACTGGAGCTGGGAGGTCAAGGAGCTTCAGGCCATTGACAACACTGAGTGTGCGGGGTGCAAGTCACTGGGAGGAGGCCCAGCGCTGCTGTCCCCCATGACACAGTAACTCGCTGGGTTAAAGATGTGGCTGCAGACTCAGAGAGTGAGTTGGTGTGTCTACCTCCAAATTGTACTTTTGCCTTACGAGTGAATGAGTCTACAGATGGGACTAGACTCGCCACTTTGTTTGGATTTGTCTGGTATTCACCCCAACTTTACCATCAAGGAAAGATGTTCTTTTACCCAAGTGCTTGGCAGAAAGCACAGATAGTGCTGAGCACCCCTTTGAATTTCATGGTTTGTTCTGGAGCAAATGTATTGCCGTGTGCACTGATGGTGCCAGAGCAAAGATGGGTTAAACTGCAGTGCCGGATCACGGACCCAGGCCGTGGCACCAAGCAGAGTTCGGAGAACCAGGTTCTTCACAGCCAGACGATCACCGGATGAAAAGAAAGGAAAAGAAGCCAGTCTCGCTTGAGTAGTCATTAAAAATGATTGGTTTTGTCAGCATGCTGTAGACCGAGGTGGGAAGCGAGGTGGGAAGCGTGCAGACAGCACTCCTGCTGCAGCCCAGGTGTGACAGTTCCCTCAGGAACACCCTGCATGAGGGTTTGCATTGGGAGAGAGACTGGCCGCTCCTTTCCTGGAAGACCGTTTTCACTAGGAGATGTGACTGACAAACCATGGTTATTCAGACTTGGCTGTTTGTCCCACATTTTTCTGGAAAATGAGCAGAATGAGCCTGTCACTTCGAGGAAAGCAGCTGCCGGTATTTGTTACCAGTGATAAAATCAAAACCTTCAAGTGAAATTAGAATTTTGGGAAACTGTATCCATCACTGTGAACTTGATATCTTCCTGGTACTTAGAGACTTTTCTGAGGTGATAGGAAGCGATATTAATGCATTGATTTGTTGATATTGTAGAATGAAATTTGTCAATCTTTGGAAGATCTCCATAACTCAGTAAGCCACTCTTTTCTAGATGACGAGTGTATGGTGCCATAAAACCATAGAAGGATGGAGACCCATTCAAAATGCAAGGTAGACTGAGGGTTTTTAATGTCACAGAATTTGAAAAACTCATTCTTGGGAATTCAGATTTCCCATGGCAGCAAACCTGTAAGAAACTACACATGTGGAGTTTTGGTGTTTTATCAAAGAAGAATGCCCTCAAATATCTCCAAAGACTATTAAAATACTCCTCCTTTTAAAATTTCTTATCTGAGTGAAGCTGATTTCTTCATGTACTTCAGCCTGGACAACATATCACGTAGAGTGAAGGCAGAGGCAGATCTGAGAATTCAGCTCTCTTCTTTGAAGAGAGATAGTAAAGAGATTTGCAAAATGTGCAGCAGTGTCATACTTCTCATTGTCTTTGTTTTGGAAAGAAGTTATTTTTAAAGTATTACTTATATTCATATGAAATAGATTTATTATCTTTTTAATGAATTAAATATTTGAAAATGTCTCCGTTTTAATTGCTTATACATAAATATCAGTGAATCTCACTCAAATAAAGGAAAGCTCTTTAGGATCTTCTGTAACATTTAAGAGTATAAAGGAATCCCGAGACCTGAAGGTTTGAAAGATGGCATTTTAGAGCAGAGCGGCTGTGGTCCCCTGGTCCTTCCTCAGCTGCATAGAGGCCTCTCGTGGGGAACTCTCCTGAGGTGGTCAGCAGAGCTGCACTGGGATTCTGACGGACTCGCTCAGCTCTCCTGGTGGTGGCTGTGCTCTGAAATGGTCCCAGTATAATTTAATTGAGGTCTTCCACTTATTATCAACTTGCGACTCTTTACTATGCATGAAATTCTTTTTTTTTCTTTTTTTATTGATCTATAATCATTTTAAAATGTTGTGTCAAATTCCAGTGTAGAGCACAATTTTTTAGTTATACATGGACATACATATATATATTCAAAATTGTCACATTTTTTTCTCTGTGAGCTGCCATAAGATCTTGTGTTATACACATGAAAGTCTTATACAGCAGGACCCGTTGGTCAGAAGAGCTTTCTGTCTGGCTCTGTTGTTTACCCGTGTACTCCTGTGCTGCAGGAGATCCTTGTTACATCTCCTTCTCAGAAATCTTGATTGTTTTCTCTTTATTCAAGTCTTGTTTTGTTTGTTGGTTTAGTTTTTAAATACTTGGAGAGGGAAAAGAAACATGGTGCCTTTCCTCATGAAGGTCACAGTACTTTTTTTTGTTGTTAAAATTATTCTTGTTTTCAAAACCCATATGATGCTGTGTCGGTTGACTTGGGCCTAGGTCCCTGGTTACGGGACCTCGGTGGGTAAGCCCAGAGGGCTTTGTGGAGTGGGCGTTGGTCTGGTTGTTTAGGCTAGGCAGACCCAGGGGATGAGAGGATGTGGCTCCAGCAGCTGGGCCAACCTTCTAGCACGTGTGCTGTGTCCCAGGAGGAACCAGGGAAAAGCAGGTGGATGTGCTCAGACACTTACGTGGTAAAATTGTCACTGTTGGGGGTGACAGTTGTCTTATGCTTTTTTAGTGTTTCTGAAGTAGAACCTTAGGTCAGGAATGCCAGTAAAATCAGAATATAAAGCAGTAGGTGTTAACTTTAACCGAAGGAAAGAACCTGCAGGTGTTAAAATAGCCTCTTTTAAGCTCCTAGGAATCAAAGTGGACTAGACTTGCTAATAATGTGTATTCAATCAAAACCTGTATTTGAAACTTTTCTAAATTCCTGCCATATTCAGATAAAATGCTTTATTACTGTGGTAGAAACACCAAATAAGATGTTCTCAAACCAGATTTCCAACCTGGATCTTTTAGGGATTTGTGATTCTGAACAGCTCAGTGGTTTCTGAGCACTGAGTCAGAGGTCCCAGCTTGAGGAGGTAACTTAAAAACAACAGTTTCTGTCCTGAGGTTGATTCCCAGTGGCCTCCGCCCTTTTAGTGGGGTTCTGCGTCTCACCCCAGCTTTGTTTAAAGTAACAAGGATGTGTATCCTGGGCTCAGGTCTGCTACACTGCCTCCCCTCTGCCTTTCCTCCGTAAATGCTGCTGAGTCAGAGGTGAGAAAGGGTGATATTTCTAGAATCTGAGGACTCTGGTCCAAATACAGATTGAAATTCTATAAAGCAGTGGAACTTGCATGCAAAGTTACTTTTGGAGTTTTCTCATTTTACTGAAGTGAGTTTGGATCTCTGAAGGGGGACCCTTGCTTAAAGCAAAGTTCACAGTGCCATTGGGAAGTTGGTTTCGAAGGGAGGAGTTTGGAGAATTTCTGTCTCTGACTCTTTTTTTTTTTTAACATTTTTTATTGATTTATAATCATTTTACAATGTTGTGTCAAATTCCAGTGTTCAGCACAATTTTTCAGTCATTCATGGACATAAATGTCTCTGACTCTTATATGAGTGTCTCATTCTTGTTTTTATTCTTTTTATAGGCACCAGTTTGTAGAAAATAATTTAATACTAAAAATGGGTCCAGTAGATAAGCGAAAGGTAAGTTAGATTCCCACCACTCCTTCTTGTGTGTCTATGTCTTCCTCCTGATTTTCACTCAGGATCAGGCCTTGCTCCTCAGGCTCCTGCTATAACTCATGCACATAGCACCTCTGTCTTGGTTCCCTTTAAGAGATTATCTCTAAATTTGATAGGTAAGGAAGATTTCAGCCATTCGGGAGAGGCGATTGAAACTACATGGCAGGCCTTGGCAGACAGAAATGCAGCCTCTCATTTCTGACTGGGGAGCCAGCGTTCTGATTTCTCCCTGAGGCTAGCTTCACTGAGGTCAAAGTTTCTGTCCTGTTGAGGAGGCTCTGCTTGAGTCCTGGCAAGTTGTTTATGACTTCATTCTAATTGCTCTTGAAAATATTAAGTAAATGAATTGTGTCAAAAATATCACACACCACAAATGTTCTCTTTCTGCCGATGTGGACCTTTCTTAGTCGAGGCTCCTGGTCTCCATTGCTGGCCATGCTCAGCCTCACCCACCCCCATGCATCCTCGTTGGTGGGAACCTCCATGAAGGAGGGTTGTGGTGTGACCGGCCAGCAGGCAGAACCCTGTGCCCTGGTGTGGAGCAGAGGGCATGAGAAATAGTAGGGCCCTGACTGCTGGTGACAGGCTCCTTGGAGCTGGCTCAGTGACAGGGACCTGAGCCAATGTGCTGGCCTCAGGTGCACCTACCTATGCTGCCATTCCCCGACATGGCAACCAGAGTAGCGAAGCCTGGAATAGGGGTGTTGGGGTCCCGCTCAGCAGGGCAGGCAGGCCAGGCCTTGAGTGCTTCCCATTTCTTTCTGACCCAAGGGGCTGTGTCCAAGTAGGAGGGAGGTGTGCACGCCCCTCTGTCGCAGGTGAGTGGGCAGGTGGCTGGCAGTGGTCCCTGTGCCTGGAGCTCCTCTGACAGTCCAGCCTCTGAGGCAGTGATAAGTGCTGTCAGCACCCACTTTTGAGCCTTAACAAGCAGTGTCCTTTTTCTTTCTTTGTTTCTTTTTTGCATCAGGGTTTATTTGCACGGCGACGACAGTTACTGCTCACAGAAGGGCCACACTTATATTATGTGGATCCTGTCAACAAAGTCTTGAAAGGTGAAATTCCATGGTCGCAAGAACTCCGACCAGAGGCCAAAAATTTTAAAACCTTCTTTGTCCACACGGTGAGTTTATCCCTACAGGTTCTTTGCAGGGCAGTTGGAGGCCTTTGGATCTTTGTGCCTCTATTCAGAGCATCCAAATGCTGTGGAACTGAGGGGGCGGCTGGAGTGGGGCGGTGGTCTCCGCCTTTCCCACGTTTGTGGCTCAGTTCTGATTTGGGCCGGGAGGTACCTATGCTTGTTTTTCAGTTCAGGAGTGATGCAAGGGAGCTGTGTAGGTCATCACGTGCATGTTTAATCTCTGCACATATGTGGAGGGAAAAAATTCCGCATGCTCACGTGCTTCCAGAAGGTACTTGCAGCGGCTGCAGTAGGATGGCAATTTCTTCCAGTTGCTCACTGATGGGTGGAGGTGCTGGTTGTGGTGGGACTCCCTCAAGAACATTAAACGTTTCTGTCTCTGCAGCCGAATAGGACGTATTACCTGATGGACCCGAGTGGGAATGCTCACAAATGGTGCAAAAAGATCCAGGAGGTGTGGAGGCACAGATATCAGAGCCACCCAGACGCCGCTGTGCAGTGATGCCCGCGGCTGCTGCACTCGCTGCAGGACATATGCCAGCATGGCTCGCCGCCACCCGGGACGCTTCCAGACCACCTGCCAGCCATCTCAAGGGGGACGCAGACGGCGGAACCTTGCAGCTTTTTAATTTAAAAGAAAAGAAGAAAAACAATACCCACCACACAAAGAACAAAACCAATAACGAAAAGGAATTCAGGGTCGCTTTGCTTGCTCTCTGTGCTCTGTGGAGGCTTCCCGCACCCTCCTCGCCATGGGAACCCAGTGCTGTGCACGTCTGCCTGGTTCCCACCCAGATTAGTGGACAGACTCGCGTCACCAGCTCTCCATCGCGTGCCCTGTCATCTGCCAGTCCTGCTGCGGCTCAGGGGACCAGGCGTGTCTCTGGGCTCTGTCTGCCCCCAGATTACCGTGGAACTCTTCACCAGGGAGCCATGCAGGACTCTGCTGGGGTGGCTTCTGATCTCTGTAGGGCAGGAGGGTCCTTGGCTTTTGTCCGTATGCTCCTTTCTTCACGTCCCTAGTTGATGGCCTGATCCCTGTGGGCCCATGCTCGCCTCCTCTAGTAGCCCTGGCTGCGAGACGTCTGCAGTTCTTGCTGTCTGTCTGTGAGTGCTCGTGTCTTGTCAGCCAGGCAGGCTCAGGCGGTAAGGAGTAGAACAGGCTGTCCAGGTAAAATACAGAGCCACTGCCGAGGTGAGGGCCAGTAGAGCGTTCAGATGTCCATCCCTCTGAGCGGGTTGCCCCCTGGGGCCAGAAACTGAGTGCCTGCCTGGAAGGAGCACTGTTAGCGCTGGGCCCACTGAGTGCCAAGTGCACCAGGTGATGGGGCTCCGTGCCTCCCCACCCCGTGTGGGGCCAGGGCAGTGGGGCAGACGGGCCTGGTGGCCCCCGTGTAGGGGAGTGTGAGCTGACAGCCCCTCTGGTTTGAAAGGTGGGGTGTGCAGGGTAAGTTGGCCCTGAGGGTGCCTGGTATCTGCAGACTGGGCTGTCCTCCCTCACAGCCAGGGGCATGGAGGAGGGCTGGCTCCCACACACCCTCGTTGTGCCCTAACTCTTGTAGTCTAACTCAGAGCGTTTTCACACATCCACAGTGAAAATCTAAAAGCCTTCTTGTGTTGCCAGGTCATCTGGTCCCCATCAGATGGACTTTGCCTGGAAACAAGTGTTAACCTTGCATGAGGGGCAGAAATAACCACACTTGAACCCGAGCCCCAGCCGTCTCTCCTCCAGTTGCAGGGTGATTTCCTTTAGCTTTTTTTGTGGCAGCACCCTGCTCTGTACTAAGGGTGGTCCAGGACTTACTAGTCCTTTGATTTTCTTTGCTGCTGCTCCCTGGACAGAGAGAACTCCTGTCAGCCTGGCGGGGCTCGGCCATTCCTCTCCCTGCCCAGGTTCTCCCAGCGGGAAAGGAGCGAGCACTGCCACCCGCAGGCTGCTGCTCACAGACCAGTTTCTGTCCCCAGGGGAGGAGTGACTTTGCCATTTCCTATAATTTTCCCAAAGGCGCCAACAAAAAGCTCCCGCAGATAAGATCCCAACTACTTCCCTGCCCTCATGTCCTATCTCGAACCATCCACCACCCTGTGTAACCAGTGGTCCAAACTGAGAGGAAAGATGTCTTAAGTTGTTTCAGTGATAATAGTGGCTCTTAAGTTGGGAAAAACGTGCAGATGTGGAGAATTCCACTGTGTTTGGGTAGGGAGAGGAGTTTGGGTGGGAGCAGAGGTGGTAGCCAGGTTGGCCAGTGGTTTCTGCTTGGGCCTTGTTCTCTGCTCTGCGAGAGCTGCACAAGAGCAAGTGTGTGCGTGTGTGCGCTGCGTGTGTCGGGGATGCCAAGGTGTTGGGGGGCATGCCTGCCCTTGGGGCGTCCCAGAGCACTGCCCTGGGCATGTGGTTGTAGATGGAGGCCCCTCTGTCCTCTCACTTTGGAAAAGCTTTGCCTGTGTTCACCTGCTTTTCAAAAAGTGAGTCTGTCTTGACCCTTTCTTTCAGGACTTTGATTTCAGGGGTACTCCTGTGTTTATATTTCACTCCTGTCAGAGCGTCCGCGTCTGCGCATGTGCATTTAGGAGAGTTGGGAGGCCGCTAGTGCACAGCATCTTTCCTGGGTGTCTGGTTACAGGGAAACAAGCAGACCTGATGTTGGCTTTAAAAGGAGCGCTCAGCTGGGCTGCTCAGGGAGACACGACTCATCTGTCGCATTCTTCCGTCTGGATCACACCACTACCTCCTGGGCTTAACCGACAAGCTCCATCTTAACCTCCAAAACCAGAGAATAAGGGGTTCGAGGTTGAGCTCACAGCTGGCAGAGCTGAAGTGACTGCTCTGCCTGAGCCAGTGACAGCTGAGCCCTTCTCTGTGGGTCACCTTTCTCCACTCACTCAGAATTCTCTTTCCTTTTTTTTTTTCTTTCTTTCTCTTTTTGGAAGCCCCTGCATACTCTTACCCTATGCTTATTCATGTCAACTTTAGTTTTATCCAACTCATCCTTTGAGCCATTATCCTGGCATGCAGGTGCCTTATGTTCTAAGATGTGCACGTAGGTGTCAGTCTATGCACACACGCAGGCATACCTAGAAATATATAGAAATGTGGATTTGTCCAAGGTAAGAAAGAAAATGCCCTTTTGTTTAATAGGTCCAGGAGTATGTATCTTACTGAGAGAGGTTAAGGACAGGTGTAATGCCAAACCCAGCACCTGTCAAGCAGAGATGGTCCTGCACCATGTGGCCACTCTTGGCACAGAGGGGAGGGAGGATGGCCAGGAGGGTCAGGGTCTCTACCGGCTCAGACAGCCCACTGTGCCTTGCCTCTTTGGGAACACGAGGAAGCCAGGTTTGGATGGGGTGGTTTCCTTCCCTTTCTGTGGACCTGACCTGGGCAGTGCACTTTGGGCAGCCCTGTGTGGAGCATGAAGCCCCACCCTGTGAGAGGCACCTCTGTGTGCCTGCCACGCTGAACCTTGACTGTGGGGAGGTTTGTCACAGACTTGCTTTGTGAAAGGTGGCTCTTGGGGTCATGCCGAAGCTGCTGGGAACTGTACCTGCCTCATCCCCCTTGGGCAGCCCTGTGGTGTTTGTGGCGCGAGCCTGAAGGAATTGCAGGAGATGGCCTTTGGCACAGACCCCGAGGACAGGGGGCTCTGGGTGATTTAGTACTTTATTAAAACATTTGTTTCCTGAAAAAATCAATTGTAGGCTCAGCACCCAGAAAAGACCACTGTGACCTTCTTGGTGCACAGCCTGCCACCCTTGCCTCCCTGCCCGCACACGTGTTTGCTTTTGTAACTTAAGTGGGAACATACAACATATACCATTTTGCATCCAGCTTCTTTCACTTAATGTCACGTCATGAACAAAATTCAAAAACTTTGTTTTTAATGATTGTAGAGTGTAATGGTTATTTTTTTATCATAATTTATCTGATCACTTTACTGCTCTAAAGCATTTAGATGGTTTCTGGTTTTTCACTATTTAAAAACTGCTGTAATGAATATCCTTATAAGTCTTTGATTTTTAACTCTGATCTCCTCCCCTTGCCCTGCCCTGCCCTGTCCAGATTCCTAGCAGTGGTATTTTAGGGTCAAAGAGTTTGTTCATTTTAAAGATAGTATAGACTCTCTTCCTCTGTCTTGCTCTGATGTTCAGATGCTCAGAGTTCCAGTACAGGACTTCCTTAGCTGTGTCCTACAGATTCTGAACAAATCAATTTCTGGTGAGTTGTGTGTTCCCAAGAATGTTTGAATAAGACTGCTCTCTCTCACTCTCTCTCTCTCCTCTCTCTCTCTCTCTCGCTCTCTCTCTCGCTCTCTCTCGCTCTCTCTCGCTCTCGCTCTCTCTTTTTTTTAAATGCTAAAATGATGTTATTACTGGTGGCCATTTGTGACAGATTTTTCCAAAAGCCGATTTCCTTATTTTCATGGAAAGAATCTGGTTATGCTTGCATGTTACCTTCCCATCCCTGCTGCTGTGGCTTTCAAGTGCTTGGTGATATTTTCAGAATCTACTTTGTGTCCACAATGGTACTGAATTTGCATCTGCACAGTCAGCAGAGATAAAGTGTTGAACTGACCTTGCCACATACTTAGTGGATGATTTGTAATTAAGTTTATAGACTCAGAAAGTACTTTAGGCCATTTGGAATCAGTAAAAGAACAAAGACTCTACTTGAACAACCATGTAGACAGTTGGATTTTATAGAAGTGTATTTGGCCTGCGCTCCCACCTCCCCAATGTTTTTCAAATTGAGGGACTCCGGCCATCTTAGTACAGTAGAGCACACTGGCTAGGTTTTTCCATTGTAGAATGTAATTGCCCTGGCTGATAAGGATTTAAGGATTTCTCTTACCCTCTTGCCCATAGTGTTGCAGGTTGCCTAGTTATCTTTAAGTCCAGACAACCCAGATTTGGTTTCTTTCTTAATTTTTCCACTTTAGTTTGGGGTCTGTCAGTTCTGAGGGAAAAGATGCATGAGAAATTTTTCTAGGTGCCATGCTCCATGCCACTTGATTATGCCAGAGATGATGGCCAGATTGTGCAGAATTAGGTCTTCTCCCCTCCCCTGACACTCCAAGACCCCCTCTCTCCTGGTCAGTCCACAGACTGAGGATGCTTACTGCCCAGACTGGAGAGGTTGCAGCCACCCTGCGAGCATGGTGAAGGTACTATTCTTGGAGATGTTGCCATATGCGTTTTTCCATATTGTTTCTTTTCATATCCAAACGTAACATGAACTGATGGTGACTCAAGTGGGTGTGGTCCTTCCCTCTTAGGCAGCCTACATGGCAAGTGCCTTAAACCAGGGCAGGAGTCACTCCCAGAGCCTCCAAGGGGTGCAGGCTGCTGGCTCAAGATTGCAGGGTTGTAAATCAGGCTGCCTCGAGAACCGGTCTGGGGAGAAAGCTCTTCCAGCAAAGAGCAGTTTTATCTGTAGCTCAGACAGCCTTGGTGGGCAACTGAACTAGCCTACATGTATACCTGAATTTCCTCCAGAACTCATTTCTTCGATATGAAGAAATACCAAACTTTATGTACAGAGAACTTTTACAAAAGGCACACCTTTTTTAGCTGTGTAATCCACCCTAATCTAACCCGTCTGGCTGAGTGACTGAATAGGGGTCATTTTGCTGGTGAAAAGCCTCTATCACGATCGTAAGTACTGATTGGACATTGACAAAATTAAATTTTTTGCAATATTTAGAGCTGCTGTAGCTGTTCCTTAACAACACAAAATAGGATGAATCAAATAGTACGTTAGCTGTCTTTCAGGTTGGTGGCAGTCAGTTAGAACGTGTAATATTCTCTACCTGGTCTGTAGCTGTAACTGTGATGTACAGGCAAAGCAAAAATTAAGAAAAAAAACTTATGAAAACAAATAATGCAATGATATTAGGATATACACTTTTGTATTTTTATTCTTATATAAGGTTATTTGCTGGCTATTGTTGGCCTCTAGTTCAGTCTGTGTTATTTAAAATCTAATATATGAATTTGGATTGAATTCATGTTCGGGGCCACGTTGTTGTATGTATTGATGTACAGCCTTGAATGTGAATAATTATTGTAAACTATATTTTACAACTTTTTTTCTGGCTTTATTATATAAATTTTCTATTTGGTCGATGATTTAATCATATCATAATTTAATGAATCTGTTTATTCTTTTTTTCAGATATTTGTGCTTTAGATGTAGTTACCGGATGATGAATTTTCCACGTATGCTCGGTAGTCTTGTAATAAAAAAGCATGTAGAGTGTAGACGTTCACTGACGTAGCTCTCTTCCTTTGGCCAGGGCGCGGGTCGGGCGTTGTCGGGCTACCTGGATTCGGGGCCAGGAATCCGGCGTCCGGACACCGCACGCTCCCGGCGGCGGCCGGCGAGCCCTTCTCAAACCCTACAGTCTCGGATCCACCGCCCCCTGTCGCGGACCACGCAGCGCCAGGCTCCGGCCGGAAGGGGGCACGGCCGGCCGTTTTTCCGGACCGGAACTTCCGCCTCCCGCGTGACGCCAGGGTGGGTGCTTTACGAGGGCGGACCCGTGGGCGGGACAGAGCTCGGAGGACTGTATTAAAGGCCGGACGCTTCCGGTGGAGAGGCGCTGTGGCGGGGCTTGCTGGGATCATGGCGGAGAATCACTGCGAGCTGT